CACGTTGCCAGTGAAATACGTAAATTTCACGCACTTTCTATATTGGGCCAGAATTTGGTGAGTTTTTGGATATGCTAAGACCCCCTAAAGGTCATCCAAAGACGCGGAAGAAAAAAAAAGAAAGAAAAAAAAAAAGAAAAAAAATAATAAACGGAGCAGATACAATAGGCCTTCGCAGCTTCACTGCTCGGGCCTAATTAAAGCTGCAAGCAGCGTCGTTCGGCCCTCGCAGCGAAGCTGCTCGCCCTCCTTCCGCACCCCCTCCGCTCCATCCCCGACGCTCTCCAAACCCAGCTCCGCGCTTGTCCATCCTGGACGGCAGCCGGGGGCACCAGGGCACGTCTGGCAGAACAGAAAGTCAACCACCCTGACACCAGAAACCGTGAACGGCCTCCTCGTCCACACCTCACCCTGATTCAGCATCCCCTCTGAGCCCAGCATTACACGTTTCACCACTAGGAGATACTCTATCTTTACCACACTGGTGATGTGATGTTCAGTCTCTGGCAAATCGGAGGCTGTTTGTGGAAGTTACAGTCAAACGTAAGGTCACAGCGTCACGCCAGAAATCGCCATGGCATCAAAGCTCCTCCCTTTCTGAAAAGCTATCAGATCTGAATAGTCATTACAACATCATGAAGACAGTGCATGACCTTAGTGTCATGTTGACTAAATTAGAGGGGACAAATATGGGCATTTCACCATAAAACAGAAGACTTCCTGTAGTCAGGGGGCGGGGCTTAGGTGATGCCAGCTGTCCACATTGTCACTGTCTTCAGATGTGGTCAGTGATCACACGGACAAAGTTTGAAATTGATCTGATCATGCACAAGGGAGTTATTGAGTCAAGTAACGTAATGGCGACTGGTCAAAGTTTGAGGCTTAGCCACGCCCACACCTTTATACTTATTTAAAATCCGACGGTTGAATCTTTTCCTCTATGTCTTAAGAGTATATAGCAAGAGTTTGAAGGTGATCGGTGGAAAGGGCGACGAGACATCATTCTCCTAATAACGTGTGCGAAAACCACTAAATCGAGTACTTGGACCAAAATGGCCGACCTCCTGTGCGACATTGCGCTTGGCTCCAAGAGACTTTTTTGTAGGTCCTGAGACACTACATTAGTGTGCCAAATTTCGTGATCCTCAGTCAAAGCACGGCTTGGGGCTGACAGTTTTAATGGTCCTAGGGGGCGCTATTTCAGAAAATAGGCCACGCCCACAAACTTCAGCTGTCCAATTCTATTAGGGGTCAGAGTAGGATCACTCATCAGAAATTGTGTGGCGATGTCACAATGATTGAAGAAATGAGAGACAAACGTATTTCCATGGCGTGATGGCGAATTTCGCCATGCTCCCAAAGCCCCGCCTTTATTCGAAAGCTGCCAGTACTATAGACCAAGTGACCTCAACTTGTCTGCTGCTATTTGCCAGTGATTGCTGGTGATTGGTTAAAAGGAGTCCAATAGGGAGCTGTGAAAAAAAGAGTGGCGTGGCGACAGGTCAAAGTTTGAGGCTTAGCCACGCCCACACCTTTATACTTATTTAAAATCCGTAGGTTGAATTTTTTCCCCTTTGTCTTAAGAGTCTATAGCAGAAGTTTGAAGGTGATTGGTGAAAAGGGCAATGGTGTAACACTCTCCAAACAACGTGTGCGAAAACCACTAAATCGACTACTTGGACCAAAATGGCCGACTTCCTGTGCGACTTTGCACTTGGCTCCAAGAGACTTTTTTGTAGGACCGGAGACACCACATTAGTGTACCAGATTTCGTACTCCTCAGTCAAAGCATGGCTAGGGGCTGACAGTTTTAATGGTCCTAGAGGGCGCCATTTCAGAAAATAGGCCACGCCCACAAACTACAGCTGTCCAAATCTATTGGGGGTCAGACTAGGATCACTCACCAGACATTTTGTGGTGATGGCACGATAATTGAAGAAATGAGAGGCAAACGTATTGCCATGGCGTGATGGTGAATTTTGCCATGCTCCCAAAGCCCCGCCTTTTTTCAAAACCTGCCAGTACTGGAGACTAAGTGACCTCAACTTGTCAGCTGCTATTCGCCAGAGATTGCTGGCGATTGGGTAAAAGGAGTCCAATAGGTAGCTGTGAAAAAAAGAGTGGCGTGGTGACAGGTCAAAGTTTGAGGCTTAGCCACGCCCACACCTTTATACTTATTTAAAATCCGACGGTTGAATTTTTTCCTTTATGTCTTAAGAGTCTATAGCAGAAGTTTGAAGGCGATTGGTGAAAAGGGCGATGGAGCATCACTCTCCAAACAACGTGTGCGAAAACCACTAAATCGAGTACTTGGACCAAAATGGCCGACTTCCTGTGCGACTTTGCACTTGGCTCCAAGAGACTTTTTTGTAGGTCCTGAGACACCACATTAGTGTGCCAAATTTCATAATCCTCAGTCAAAGCATGACTTGGGGCTGACAGTTTTAATGGTCCTAGGGGGCGCTATTTCAGAAAATAGGCCACGCCCACCGGATGTTCACATCACATTTTGTGGGGGGCTGAACTAGGATCACTCCCAAGAGGTTTTGTGGCGATATCTCTAGAAATGACGAAATGGGAGGCAAACGTAAGGCCTAAGCGGTACGCCTGACTTCGCCGCGCCGCCACAGCCCCGCCTTCTGGAGAAAACTCCCATAAAGTGACGCCAAGCAACCCCAACTTGTCTTCAGTTACCCGCTACAAATTTGGGGTGGTTATTGGAAAGGGCGAATTTTGGAAAATTTCCCAGTAAATCTTGACCTTTTAAGTCCTGAGGGGGCGGGGCTTATGTGACATCATCAATCGACCATTCATTTGTTTTCGGAGGTCGACGACGATTGTCCTTAGAACATTTCTTTAACTGTAATTCTTTCATTTATGAATCTATAGCAATTTGAATTTTTTTGGCGAGTGCTCGAACTTTGAGGCCTGGTCCCGCCCCTTCAGTATTTACGAAAAGTCAATTTTATTGTCTCATTTTAATCGTCCATCGCTTCTGTTCGATCGCACACTATTTTTGAGACGATCGTGCGAAAAATGACCAAACTGTTAAACCAAATATAGACCCTAGAAATGGCCAAAACGGGGTCAAAATGGCCAATTTAGTCCAAAATGGCCGACTTCCTGTTTGATATTGACCATGGGTGCAAGAGGCTTTTCTGTGCGTATTGTTGAGTTCTACAAGTGTACCAAATTTCATCACTCTACTATGAAAAAAGGTCAAAGCGGAGGGGTATTTTTAATTTTCCAGGGGGCGCTGTTGAAACATTTTTTTACCAACTTTCACGTTGCCAGTGAAATACGTAAATTTCACGCACTTTCTATATTGGGCCAGAATTTGGTGACTTTTTGGATATGCTAAGACCCCCTAAAGGCCATCCAAAGACGCGGAAGAAAAAAAAAGAAAGAAAAAAAAAAATAATAATAATTAAAGCTGCAAGCAGCGTCGTTCGGCCCTCGCAGCGAAGCTGCTCGCCCTCCGTCCGCATCCCCTCCGCTTCATCACGACTCTCTCCAAACCCAGCTCCGCACCGCTCCGTCCTGGCCGGTAGTCAAGGGCATGTCTGTGGAACAGAAACGTTGACCACCTCGACACCAGAAACCGCCAACGGTCACCTCGTCCGCACCTGACTCAGCATCCCCTCTGAGGCCACCATTATATTACACGTCTCACCACTAGGGCATACTCAGAGTATCCCTTATCACAGGTGTGGAGGTAAATGGTAAAATGGTAAATGGCCTGTATTTGATATAGCGCCTTCTAGAGTCCTGGAACCCCCCAAGGCGCTTTACAACACAATCAGTCATTCACCCATTCACACACTGGTGGGGATGAGCTACGATGCAGCCACAGCTGCCCTGGGGCACACTGACAGAGGCGAGGCTGCCGAGCACTGGCGCCACCGGTCCCTCCGACCACCACCAGCAGGCAATGTGGGTTAAGTGTCTTGCCCAAGGACACAACGACAGCGACAGACTGAGCGGGGCTCGAACCTGCAACCTTCCGATTGCGAGGCGAGCACTTAACTCCTGTGCCACCGTCGCCCTTGTACATGCAACATGTGTGACAAAGGCACAGCAATCAATTTCTAACTCTTTTACAGAAGATCATTTTGCTGTTCACATGACGTTTCTTCTTAAATTGAAGGCAGACCTACAAGCTTTTCTTCAAGGCTGGAACAACCATCCTCTTAGAACAGAAGGAAACCAAACTCCTGAGCAGCTATGGTACACAGGAATGATGTGGCACCCGACCCAGCAGCCAGAGTAAGTTGAGGTGCATTTCTTTTTAATTCATTCAAAATAAAAAGGAATGAGTCCTAAGTGAACAGCATCAAATGTGAAACAAATTAAAGTATTTGGAATGAATGTTAAAGTTCATTTGCTTAAATGGATCAGCTGGTAAAATAGCTTGAAAAGTTTGGTAATCCACATAAGGTTTAAACAAGTCAATATTGGCTAATAACTGTGATGCAATAAGGGAATGATAATAATTGTGGTGTTTAAATTTGTTTGGTCCACTTATCAGGATATTCAAGAGCCGGACATTGACTGGGATGTGGCAGCTGAATATGGAGTAGTTGCGGACGTTGTGATTGTGATTCCAGAATTTGACAGTCCACTGAAAGAACAGCAGGTAGCAGCGCTTCAGTTGCTGATTGATGAAAATATTGGACATACGAACACTACAAGCTTGGGGTTGTATGAACTAGTCGATTTCACTGCTCTGTAGTGACTTTTCATGTTTGTCATCGAGTAGTCTCTTCCTAAAGACAGCAGGTGACAAGCCCCTGCTCATCGGGAGGTACCGCGCTGTGCCAGAGTGTCGGTATTGACACCCGCGGTAAAACGGACATTGAACCAACATAAACTCCTCAAAACTTTTAAATAAAATGCCTGTGAGACCCTTTGATGTGGACATCATTTTTACAGTACAGACGCTCTTCCTTTTGTATTTTTTGTGTCCCTGAGTCACCTGTCCACAGATCATGCACACAGGGTTGTTTTGCACCCTGGATTTATTTCCCTCCCCAAAGAAGGAAAGCTCCTGTTTACACTTGTAAAGCGTGTCCCTGGACCATGATGGGGATGGAGACGAGGTAGCAGTGGCCTCAGGAAACACCAGACTGGCAGAAGGCTGGAGCGACGCAGGGCTGGAGCTGGACTGAACAGAGACCGCTTAGGCACAATGGGCCTGACTGTGTGCCAAGGGGTTTCAGATAGCGTAGAGGTGGAAGAGGCTACAACTGTTTCACAACTCACAGGAGTCTGTTTTCTAGGCTGTAGCAGAGACTGAGGTTGAAATTGAGGCTTCACCTGGGGCTGAAGCTGTGGCTGAGTAGCAGCAGGCCGAGAGACTGGCATCGCAAGGTCCGTCCTGTTCCTTAAAACCTTGTCCAGGACATCAGCAGAAAAGCCAGCAGAGGGACCAGGAGGAGTAGTGGAGCCAGAAGAAGCAGCTATCGGACCAGCAGGGGATTCAGAAGCAGAGGGATCAGCAGGAGCAGGAGAACCAACAGCCGCTGTAGAGCAGGAGCCTTTGGCAACGTCCTGGTCGCTGCAGCTCCTATTGTTGGTTGCTTTGAGATGAGGGAGTCTAAAAAGACCACAAAAAATTTGTAGTGTGCGTTGTTTAAGCTTGGAAGGTGCAAATTAGATTTGTTCTGCCCCATACCTTCCACAGATTTACAAGCAGCCACCATCTCTGCATCATCATCCAGCCACGACAGAGGGTGTCTCTGGGAGGGGCGTGATTCTTCCTGCTGAGCAAACAGGAAAAGCATCAATTAAAGACTTAGTTAACTTGAAAATTTTACTAATTATGTTTAAGGCTAGAAATAATTTACTGCCAACTAATCTACAAAGGTTCTTTGTTTTGATCCCAAAAAATGATAAGAGTAGAAAGAAACCAGAGTTTAAAAGGATATTTGTTCGTACTACATTAAAGCAAATGTGTATGTTAACATATGGTGTGAAATTATGGAATAACCTGGATGATGAATTAAAAAAATGTACAAGTACTGGTCAATTAAAAAAAATGTATAAAGATAAAAGGCTAAAATCGTATGATTTGGTGGGTTTAGGATGGAGGATTAATGTTTTAGTAGTGATATTATTTGTGGAAGTAAGAGAGCGGTTTATTTTTTGTGTATAAGGCTATTTTGTACTTTTTGTTATTTATCTTGTCTTAGTTAAAGGGGGTAGGTCATATAAGATTTTTTCTTCTTCCTCCCCCTATTTCACTCGAATGCTTATATTCTAATTTGAAGTTTGTATATTTAAACTTTGAGTGAAATAAATTATTGAATTGAATAAACAGGGAGCCCAGTGTGCGCCCCCCAGTGGAGGGTTAAGGTATTTATATTGTGCCGTATCACACACCATGGTTGGAGGAAGACGAAGTAGTTCTTGCTGAAAACGCTGAAAAGTAGCGGGGGCGTTCCTCAAACCGAACGGCAACACGGTGTACTGGAGCAGGTTATCTGGAGTGACGAAAGCAGACACTTTAGATGCAAATGGAGTTAGCGGCACCTGCCAATAGGCTTTTAGAAGATCTAGTTTAGTAACAAATGTAGCTGAACCCACACTATCCACACAATCCTCTACACGAGGCAAAGGAAACGAATCTGGGACGGTTTTTGCATTTAACTTGCGGTAGTCAGTAACAAACCTATATGAGCCATCAGGTTTATTTTCCAGTAAACATGGTGAGCTCAAGGAAGTGGTGCTGGGCTTTGCTAGGCCATGTTCTAATAGATAAGTTACTTCCTTTCTCATTAGTTCCCTCTTCATCGGACTAGCCCTGCAAGGGTGCATATGAACGGGGACAGAATCAGTAAGGCTGATGTCATGAGTTATTAGGTGGGTCTGACTGGACACGTCTGAAAATAGTTCCGGAAAAGAGTGAATTAGATGAGAAAGCTCCTCCTGTTGCGAAGAGGTGAGGTGACCCAAACTGGACGACAGGTTGGAGAGAGCTTCGGAGTTGCAGAGACGTGGGGTGACAGGGGGCAGCAAACTCCACGCCACAGCATCATCTTGCACAGTATCAGGCAGTGGGGGAGAAACCTCTGCAGAGACTAAACAAGGCTGAGTCACAGCGGTAGCACGTTCATGAAATAGCTTCAAACGATTCACATGGCAAGTCATGGTTTTCTTTCTCATTAGAGGAGTTCTGATCACATAATTGGATTCACTGAACTTGGAGAGAACCTCAAAAAGCTGCAGCCAGGGAGAGAGAGGTGTCGGCGCGCTAGGATGATGTCGACGCCAAAACAACCAAAACAAAGTGGAGACTCACCTCTCACATCAGGAAGAATCTGCGTGTTTCGAGCGTTATCTGTTCTTTCATAATCCGTTGTTGAATTGTGATCGGCAGAAGCTTTTCTGGTTCGCGCCTCAGTTTTTACAGCAGCGGCCCACGTCAAGACGTCGTTTCTGTTACTGATAAGGAAATGCGTGCGTTAAGCAGCGCGGTCTGTAGAAGCTGTCATCAGCTGATCAGGAGCTGCTAGAGGTAGATGTTTTCATCCAAGAGCATCACGGCCCATGAAGAACGAGGAAGACGTGATGAATATCTACGGCTGCAGACCCGCCGCAGATTTGCTGCTGTAGGTGGGAATCTGCAGCAGTGAATCTGCGGGTCTGCAGCCGTGCCCTTCTTGGCGTGACAGCGGGACGTCCCGAAGGTCCGCTCACCTGTTCACCGCTCAGACGTCCTGATCTTTTGCCTTCCTAGATCATCCAGCTGTAACCTGTTTCTGATCATGTCTTTAGCCCCGCTGTAACACTGATGCATCAGTCTCAAACGACATGGAGCTCAGGTGTTATTAGAACCTGTGTGTGTTTACCACCCAGCTTCAGCTCTTCTGTGGTTGGGTCTGACCCACGTTAGTACATTTAAGTCCTCCATCAGGCTTGTGCCTCTTCTAGTGTCATTTTAAAGGATTTTATTTATTTATTTAACCGTTACTAGATTAGCAGCAACAGAAATGCTGCTAAAAACACACAATTATGTGAAGCTGGAAGAATTAGAATACTGTGCAAAATTACATTTATTTCTGTAATTTAACTAGATCGAGATACAATTTAAAGGCTCGGGAACCTTTACAGGTGTTTCTATTTGCAATTTTAAATTTTAGCTGATTGGGGTCTTGTTAAATATCACACAGAGACCTTTTAATAGTCTAGATTAGTGTAATGTTCCTGTTAGTAGTTCTTCCTGTGAAGTGCTTATTTATTGAAATTATTCAGGTTTATAAAAAACATTTGGACATACATTTTATTATGTTCCAGTCATTAGTCATTTATATTTCACTATTGTAGTAATTCTTGCATTCTTTAATGAAAAAAGTAACTAAGTAGTTATTTTTGTTGGTAATCAGTTACTTTTATGATCTTGTAACTGAGTTACTTTTTTGACAAAGTAATCAGTAACTATAACTAATTACTTTTTTAAAGTAACGTTCCCAACACTGATTAACGCACAGGCCAGAGTTTCATCTGCCCGTGTTAGGAGAACGGGACCTGCTCTAGCTGTGAGAATGCCGTGTGTGTGCGCTCACCATGATGACCAGTAGAATATTCTGGAAGTCATTTCTGAATCCCAGTGTGGAGCTGCAGAACAGAGCAAAGTTTCCTTCCAGGAGTTGCAGGGTAAAAAATAGGCTTGCTCAGTCAAACTGCACACGCACGCACATAAATCATTTTTGTTCCGTGAGGATTTATTCCACACTCACCATGAAACCCAGTGAGGTAAAGAGGAAGACTACGACCAGTTTGGCGTATGGTCCGTGTCCCATCACGAGCCTGATTCCTTGAAAAAAGGCATGGGCTGTGACCAGACCTGGGAATGCTCTAAAAACAGAAAATAAACCAGAAACAGTCAGAACACCACCTGATACCTGTACAAGTCTCTAGAAGCATGTTGCTTTGATTCCTCGCAACATCTTTCACCTAGTCAGCTGACTTTCATGCTTTTCCTTATTGCCTTTAGATTTGACCACAGCTTTGGCTTGATCACACGGCCCGTATTGCTCAGCTACAACTGTCTCGTTATTGGTCACAGTCAAGCCCCTTCATCACATCACATCACTGTTTTTCATGGAACTTGAAATCAGATTTACAAAATAATGGATCATGCAAAATCATAAGATCTGGTGTAATTCGATATGAATGACTGACCTAAAAAATGAACAGATTTCAGATGAATATGTAAAACCAACAGAGTTGGTGCCATTTTTGTGTTTGCTGATGAAACTTATCTGTGGTAGCCATCTTTTGCCAAGTTAGAGCTAAAAGCTAGTCTGAGCTAACCGCTAGTTTGAAACAAAAGCTAGTCTTAGTCTGAGCCAAACGCTAGTCTGAGCAAACCGCTAGTCTGAGCCAAAAGCTAGTCTTAGTCTGAGCCAAACGCTAGTCTGGGCTAAGTGCTAGTCTGAGCCAAAAGCTAGTCTGAGCTAACCGCTAGTCTGAGCTAACAGCTATGCATCCTCGAACAATTCTCCGGACATCGTTTACTGCAAATCGTGATAATTTCAACAAACATTAGTCAGCTAGCAAGTAGCTAGTTTTTGCTAGCTTTAGCTTTAACATCGATTGACTAACCTTATGCCGGCTTCTTCTCCTGGACTGTCTGGAAGTGAGGGGGCGGCCTCTGTAAAACACGGGAATCGGAGACGAATGTGACGTTGCTGTGTCGTTAAAGAAACTTATTGGTTTATTTTGAATTTTCCGATTTTGCCTTACTGATTGGAGGATTAGCGCATTGTGTTTTCTAAAGACTTCAACCTTATTGGGAGATATTTTTCCACGTGATGTATTCTATCCCACTGATTGGCTCAAGTTCGGGTATAAATTTTTCAATCTAACTGCCACTCACGTCTTTGAACAAGACTCGTTTCAGTGCGCACTGCGTAGGCTTGCTTGGGGTTTTGCCTTCTTTTTAGCGTTGTAAAGCAGCATTTTGGAGAATATTTAATTCGTGCTTATTGTTATCTGTCGTTTGTTTGTTTGTATGTTTGTTTTTAAGCAATATTAGCTGTATTCAGCTGGCGTGTTCACTTCTTATTATGGTAAGTAATACTTACATATTTGCTGTGTCGATTTTTACGCAAGCAGCTTCATTATTCTTGTGATATAATTTGGAAAAGAGTAAAGTAGTTTTGTTGAATCTGCAGCATGAGTGAGTGTCCATGTGGCACGTGATGTAACATTTAACGGAAAGACACGAAGGGGGGGGTGGACTCGCGCTGCGGCGAACCGGTTCCGCCGTTACATTCCCGCAGAAACTGGTTGATCACACCGGGACCAGAGTCGAGTCTCAGACATTGGGGTTTTACAACCACAATGTCCTAGGAAGCGAAAACGCTTTTAAAAGGGAGGGAGGAGTCCTAACTGTTGCTGCAGGCTGTAACGGGGTGACTCGAGCTGGGCGAGAGTTTGGAGGTGGCGTGGCTTTTAACCCAAGCGCGGAGTGACTGACGCCGGGTTGAATGGACACGCTGTTCAGGGAGCCGAGTGCGCAGCTGAACACGGCGAGTCCTGGTCTGAGGCTGGTCTCTAAGAACAGGCAGGATTCTTAGATCTAGCTGGTCTTATCTGAACAGGCTTCGTGATCTGAGACAATCTGGTTTGGACTCTGGGTTAGGTTCGGTTCGAACGATGACTTTGGTTTTATGCTTGACGCATTCACTTTCCGCGCGGTGATGCGGCTCGCGGATGGAACGTGCTTCACAAATCTCAGTGTTTATAGTTTGTGCGGCTTGTCTCTGCGGTGAGCCAATATTCTCCCAAACTGAACGGGGCAGCATGGAGCTGTACAGCATGCATTCAACACAACACCATAGTAGAAGTAGAACTTACTGTTTACAACATGGCATTTCAGCATTTTAAACAGCGTTCTCGTCTTATCCGACAGTACGAGCTATTTTTCTCCAAGAACTATTAACAACATGTTGATCACGGTGACCTCTGAGAGCTGAATCATACTAATGTCTATTTACGAACCTCTGCCATAGTAGTTCTTGCTGGTCCGCCATGTTTTTCCGCGTGGTTAGAAATTTTCCGAGGTGCGCGTTGCGGAAATTCTGGGCCGTGCGGAGGCGCGGTGGAGGGGCGTGGTTGTTAAAATGACGAAACTTTTCCGTGCGGACCTCGCACCTGGTTGGTTAAGCTTGATGGTTGATGCCGACGTGAGTCGGTGTTGTGCGGCACTTCCTTAAAAAGATTTGGCGGGTGACGTGAACCGGAAGCCTGGCGCTGGGGATGTTGGGTAATGGAGTTTGAGCGGCTCTGCGGTGCCTCCCTAGAGGAGGTTGACAGCTGAGAGGGAGGTTGCGTGAGTGACACAGGCGTGTTGTGTGAGAGTGCAGTTATTTACTGGTTAATAGGGCTGCTCGATTATGGCAAAAATAATAATCACGATTATGGTGACTGAAATTGAGATCACGATTATTTAGGACGATTTTTCAATTTATGTTGATTTTATTTGTTTTTATTCAGTCATAAAATTGCTCAGGGCACAATCAGGACAAAAATAATAAACTAGATGATCACTAAAATAACTCCTGATTCCCAGTATAAAAAGACCAATATACTTCTAGCTCACAGTCTATGACCCAAGGGCTATAGACCTTGGTTTAACTCATTTAAGTCTAACCAGTACAGACCCAAATACCATTACCTTGCAAATACTGACAGCAAGAATTATACAGTGACATTCATAACAAATAAATGCAAAGAAATTGATGTTCACAAAATGTTGCATAACATTGAGTCGTGTCAAGGTGCTGTAGGAGAGTGCACAAGCACCGTGTCCTCAGAGAGATTAGTTATTATTTATCAGCGTGAGGAACTTATTTCTACCTTATTTATAAACTATTTATTTACAGGTCCATCAGTTAATGTAATAATTGTCCCAACTACAGCTGCACCCCCCAACCCGGTCTCACAGCAATCGGGGCAAGCTGCACGTGTGTTTAGCGCGCCGCACACGCACATTTAGTCATTTTTAGTGGCTCAGGAGTCCGCAGGTGCGGTGTGTGTGTCACTCACTCTGGTTAATCCAACAGGGAGCAAATAATCGGCTTGTTTTGTTTTTTTATAATCGTTCAAAACTCAGATCGTAATCGTGATTAAAATTCGATTAATTGAGCAGCCCTACTGGTTAATATATTTTTGGGTTCAGTTGCTTTCATGTGGCCTAATGTGAGTCTATTTGGGATCGTTGGAATGATCAGCAGCATTTTTTGATGTGACTTATGGCAGTTGCCCAGGGCATCATCACAAGGAGGATGGCATTCATTTACTTTTGGTTTATTTGGTATTTTTTCAGTCATTTGTGGAAATAGTGATTAATTTTGATTAATTCACAGCCTATGTTTAATTACATTTAAAAATTAGTTGTTTGACATCCCCAATTATAATAAATGTCTACAGATGAGATCAAACAAAACAGATGAGAATTGCCCTTAAAGAGCAAGTCACCCCCAAATCAACTTTTTTTTGCTGATAAAACGTGGAAGTAACGTGCATATTTGAGTCACTTCTGTTTTATGTTTCTAACAGAAACTTGTAGTTTTTCACATTTGAATGTAATATTGTCAAAAGTTTATTTTTGGCTCCATGGAGAGCTAAGTCCAACCAGCCATTCCTCCCCATCCCCGCATATTTCTCTCCTCCTGCTCCCTCACATCATCACACAAACATACACATAGGACCTTGGGGGGTGGGCATATCAGGGAGTGTGGGTATGGACCCCATTTCCGCATTCCTGTGGAAACCTGCCCCCCAATTTTATTTGCACCTTATACACTTCCACTGACGACATTCCACACAAACACACACTTAGGGCCTTGGGAGTGAGCACATTCAACGGCATTTGGCAGGGGGATATGTCAGCCTCCTCCAGGGTGCCGGTGGCCACTTTCAATTTTAAAGTGCACTTAGACACAGAGGGCTGTGGGGCGGTGTGGTGGCATCAACTGGCATGGGCAGACAATGCCCGCACTGCCCGCTCACCACAGCCGTGGAATACACCTCATCAACGAACACTAACTATATTGGAGCAGGCGGAGGGAGACTAGGGGTCTTAGCACACCTCTGTTGTTGCTTGGCTTCCTGGGGCTGGAGGCTAGGAGGGAGATCTGGCTGTCTGGTTGGGGTCTGGGGTGGTGGGTTGCTGTGCTCAGCATTGGGCGGGGGAGTCTGTTCATCAGCACCCCAGCAGAAAGGGTCAAACTCTAGTAATGGTTGTACCCAATGTGCAGCAGTACCAGGGCTAGGGTGTGTATAGGGAGCATAAGTGGGTGTCTGGCGTGCATTTTTAGAAGTCTTTGGTTGTATGTGTATGTGTGAGCATGAGAGGGAGTGTATTACTGTGTTTGTGTATGACTGTATATGTCAGGTGGGGCCTTTGACTTCTCCCTTCTCCTGGGACTTGTTTTGATGATATAGATCTTAGTCTCCCCTCTCCCTGTCACACCTGGTGTGGAGTGTGGTACCTTGGTCTGCCTGAATGTTCGTGGCTCCCGGGTCAGGGGGTTTAAGATTTTTGGCATCTGTCTGATCAATCCCGGTGGCTGCCTGGTGGGGTCTGGGTCCCTGGGCTCTGCTGGGTCCCAGGCGGGGGGTGGGAGGCTGCAGGTGGGCTTGCCTCTGATATCTCCCGGGTCTCTGCCAGCTGCTGCTTGTGGTCCCCCCGGGGCGATCCTCTGCACCTCTCAAGGGGGCGGGGGCCTTTCTGGTTGCAGTCTCCTTGGGGTTTTTGTGTTCTGGGGCAGCGGCTGGATCTCTGGGACTTGGAGCTCTCTTAGTCTCCTACACATCTTTGAGGGCAGGTCTGTGGCCCCTCACACTCTCTATTGGACACTCCTATAGAGAAACCTTACATAAACAAGCGTGTGTACACATACAGGTGCTCACATAAGTATGGACTTGGGCACGTTCAACACATGTCTTAAGGCTGTCGTTGCCACTAAATGCACTATGATTTATTATTATCGTGTGATTGTATTTCTTCAAGTTGACACAGTGATAGCTTGCTCCTGTTGTGTTGTTGTGTGTCCCATTTTTTTTTCTCTTTCTCTTTCTGCAGGCCTAGAAGCAGACTCTTGTTCATTGTTTATTTTTGTGGACCCCCCCCCCCCCCCCCTCTTTTCTGCCCCTACCTTTTGTCTTTGTCTTTATCTTTCGCCTCTGATTCAGTGTCTGGTCGGAATTACAAAGTATTCAAAAACAATAAATTTTAAAGTATCAGATGTGACATTAGCTTTGATGCTCCACTTGAGAGTAAATCTGTAAGGCTTTTCACCAACATTCAGACATCAATTCTGTTTGCTTCACAGCCAGACAGGACACGGGGGAAGAAATAATGATAAAAATAATGTAATATTGTGAGTTTATTTTTAGTCATGCCAAGTTTAATGTAGAAATAAGTAGGGCTGCAACTAACGATTATTTTCATAATCGATTAATCTGTCGATTATTTTTTCGATTAATCGATTAATCGGTTTGTTATTGTTTAGCTATTTAACCTATACAAGTGATGGATGCATTTCAGTTAAGAAAAAAAAACATAAGAGAATTGTGCAGTTGACTGCAATCTATTTTATTGCACATGAACACAGTCAGCAGTATAAAATGAGCTAAACAGTGCAAAATATCAGTCCAGAATAATTTTTTAGCATTAGCTGGAAGCCTGCTCCTTCCACCATGGATAGTGGCCTCATGTCTTTTACCAGCATGTTTAGAATAGAGTTTGTAAGTGGTATGAATTGCTGGGGGGTGAGTGTCTCTTTCCCCATGTAGTTGTCCATCGTTGCTTGTTTTTTTTCTGCATAAGAAACACAAATAGACTGAAATAAGTACACATATAAAATAAAGCAGCACACACACTACAACACTAAATCAATATTATATTATTTGAATTAATTAACAATATACAGTGATCATTTATTTTGAGGGTTACGTTCTACAAAATAGCCCGCAACAGGAGATATTCAGAAAAAAAGTCTAATTTTTTTACTATTAAAAAGCTCTAAGTAAGAAGCTCATGAGGTTTTTACTTTGAGTCGGGAGTGTTTAAATTAGCTAGAAAAATGTGAAAAATGATTATTTTGTGTAATACTGTTTAAGAAACATGATAAAAATGTGTTGTGAGGCGTTTTACAGCGTTAGATAGTAAAACAGCCTTTTAATAGTAAAAAAATGACTTTTTCTGAATTTCTCCTGTATTTAAAAATTGAAAGCGTACAACTATGCCGCGTTATATTCACCTGGACACAGCTCGTCTGTATATTTTTCACCGCGGAGTTGTCCTTTTTTGAATGAGAAACATAGTTATGGGTTTGTGCCGTTTTTCTCTTAACTAGAACATTCTTATAAACAGACGTGCTAAATTTGGCAAGCGCATGATTCACAACACGGAGGAGATTCACGATTGCATCTAGTCAATCAGAAGTAGAACACCGTAGACTGACGCGGCAAAAAAACATGTTTAACATCCACTATAACGAACTCAGCTAAAACACTAAGTCCAGCTTGTTTATTTTCTGTTACTTACCGGGCTGGCTCTTCCAAATGACGGCTCACTTGACCGCGGTGCTCTTCCTCAGCCCCCACGTTTTCGTCTCAAATGTTCACTTAGGGACGTCGTGCTTCCGTGCCATGCTAGATGGTTTTTGCATATTTTGCCTTTTCAATGCATCTAGTGAAGTGCTCCCATACTCGTGAGGTTTTTGTCCGGGGTTTCTCTAAAATTTTGTCGCTTCTATTTTTCTTCCGTATTTCCTCTTGTTCCGCCATCTCTCACAGCAAGATGAGCGTCAGTAACGTGATACGTCATGAAAACCGAGGGCACTCATTGGCTCATTTCTTCTTCTACGGCTCCACTGGTAGATCAGTGGCTCATTACTGCCACACACTGGCGGCAAATTTAACAGCTTGTAACCGATGTCAGATTGTGGTAAAAATAGACTTTATGCGGTAAAATATGATTATTAAACAACTAATCGATGACTAAAAAAGTTGTTAACTATTTTAATAATCGATTATAATCGATTAAATCGATTAGTTGTTTCAGCTCTAGAAATAAGTAAAACGTTATTAAAAGTTACAGTACTTAAAGCTAAACTGAGATTATGTAAAATAATGTAATACCATAAGACTAGTCAAAAGTTTGACTGATAACAATGGGGTGTTTAAACTATTAAAGTTGCATTGTTTAAGACTAAATTAAAGAATATAACTGCATTGTATGAAATATTCAGTCACAACATAAATAAATGTTTTTAGTACATGTATTGCTGACTATTTGAATTAGTCTAAGCATTCTATATAGAATACAGCAGGTGTATGTGCACTTTCATAAGTGCAAGTAAGTTCTAATAAAACTTGACATTTAATAACTTTTGATATTTTTAAACAATAGTTTGAAATTTAGCATGATTTAAAACTTCATTCTTGGGGTTTGATTAGATATTTTCATTTTTATATTATGATTCCTTGTTCAGGGGTTATCAGTAAAGTAGTAATAATTATGTTAATGTATTTTGTCATAGATGTCACACACAAGTTATTAATTTTTATCCTTTAAATTAGATTATACTGTGATTAACTCATTTAAAGAGCAAGTCGCCCCCAAATCAACTTTTTTTTCTGATAAACTATATAAATGTGTGTCTAATCGTGCTACAGAAATGTGTAGTCAATAGTTTTGCACTTTAGTGCATTTTAGTTAAGATTTTAATTTTCTGCCTAAAACTGTCAGTGTTGTGCCGTTGTCAGATAAAAACTTTGCACTACATTTGAATTTAAATCTGTCATAGCTATTGACTAAGAGGTACACAGTGATGTTAGATGGTACATTATGATGTCACAATGTTGTGAGTGTGTGTATTTGTTTGTGGCTCTACCCTCTCGGTCTGCTAGACAACAGCATTTGTTGCATTTTTCAAACAGGAAGTGGGAGTTGAGTAAGAATGTGGTCATGGGTGACTTGCTCTTTAAAATTTAGGATTGTTTTTACAATTATATAAGTTTAGCAAATTGATGGTTGCATAAGATTCTAAAAGGTGTGAGTGAGTGAGTCTTTACTGAGTACAGACACATGATAACATAGAAATCCATAGTGTTTGTGTTGCTTTTCTAATAGTGCTGTCATGTATTTTATGTTTCAAACAGCATTCACTATGCCTGGCAAAGAGTCCAAACGCAAGGCGGATGCTGCTAAGCGCAGCAATCGTCCAGCTCCGCCTATTCGTATCGGGATTCCAAGGCACAGCAACGATGATGTTAATTGTATGTATTGCAGTATTATTTCGCAGAACAAATTATTGTAGTGTTTTGCAATTCATTTAATCTATACTGTATTTATGTAAGATGAAAAATTATTAGCCAAAAAGATTGTTAATTTTTGTGTGTGTGTTTTTGTTTTGTAAGTTTCTGGAACTGGCTTTCGTCATCGAGTTCGTCGTTGGCCGACCAGTGTGATTTCTAACAAAGCTCACAAGTTGGTCCTTCCAGATGAGATTCCTGACAAGAAAGTGAGTGTAATGTCCACAAATATTTAAAATATAAATATAGATTTTCTTCCAATACTATCTAGCAGTACTCTGGGATTCTAAGGAAACGGTCAGATGGTGTTGAAGCCGCTATCAGTTACAGTGCTGCAAACAGACTGAATCGGCTTCTTTTTGACTTGTGCCTAAAGTCTACCAACTTTTGAATCTTAATAGAAAACCTAGTTGTGTTCATCTTCCTTTTTAGTCGGTGCTTCTCAATCTGTGATTTAGAACATAAGCTGCTCAGTTATTTTTACATATCTTTATTTGTATTTATGTTGGTGTATTCTGTGATTAGTTTTACCATTTCATGTTTTATTGTTTGTAAACTTTGACTGTTTAATGTGATCTCTTTCTTCCTGAAAAGCATATTGCATTGCCGTTTGTATGAAATGTCCTAAAAATACAGATTGTTTTATATTGAAATGTATTTATTAATTTTTCTAATTTAGTTCGTCCTACTTGTTGGGGACTCCCACTTGAGGTCCGTGGCAGATGGCATAGTCCCTATGCCGGTTGGCGGCCTTGCTTTTGGTGTGATGTCCACTCCAGGAGCTTGTGCAGATCTTCTGCGCCTTGAGGTTTCACAGGCTGTGTTACCTCGGGAGCCTGATGCTGTTTGCGTCATGGCTCCTTCTAACAACCTTACGGCCAGCAGAACAGTTGAAGAGGCAGGGGATGCATTTGAGCGGTACCTTTTGGCTGTTCTCAGTCGCTGGCCTAAGGTGAGAGGCTGATTTGTGTAATTTTGAAGGTATGAGAGATGACAGTAAACGTACATCCTTAAAAATAATTGTATTCTTTCTTCTTCTTTTTTTTTTTTTAGGTTTTCTGTACCTCCATGATTCCCCGTTTAGTTGGATCCTGGGAGCGTCAAGACCTGTTTCAGCAGGAGTACCACCGCAGATCGGCTAAGCTAGGTAAGTTGTAACATAATTAGATGAAAAGGTAGTATTAATGACGAGCGTTATTGCTATTTACTCTTAGGTATCAAACAATCACAATTTATAACTTTACATGAATTTTTTCCTTCTGCTTCGAAGGTGTAAGTTATGTGCCGATCCACGATCACCTACCCAGGTACCGTCTTAAACTGTGGTGCCGTGATGGTGTAAGTATATTGCTTGGAAGAAAACAAGGTAAAGGTTCTTAAATTTGAGATGATAAATTTGTATTTTCTTTTGTTGGTTTTTGTGGTTGCAGATCCACCTCAGTGATAATCACGGGATGCCTATACTCACGCAACTGATGTGGAATGCCTCCTATCAGTTCTTGGAGACACACGCACCAAAGCCACTGGTGCAGCACCAGGTGTCTCGTCCGCAGAAAGCGAGTATTGTGCCCCGTGTGGTTGTGAAGGGTGTGGAACGCATTCCACCTCCACGCCCTTCCGAATGGACGTTTGTGAGACCTAGCGGGAAGGTGAGAGACTTTATAAAGTATAAATATTGTAAAATGTTTATAATTTTAGGCAACTGGGCCACTAATGCTTCTAAATGTGTTTTCTTTTATTTACCATTGCAGAGGAACCATTCAGGGGAATTTGAAAAGACTTCTAATCCCCCCAAGAAACGAGTGGTTGTTTCTAAGGTTTGTGAATGTTTTTGATTTATCTTTTTCAAAGAATTTTGATTAGATGATAATATGTGGTGAATTTTCTTCAATAGGCTGATGACACTTCAGTGGCCTTGAAGGAGTGTTTCATCCCCCTGAATCCCGTTAGGTTCTCACCTTCAATTCTGGCTGCCATGGACACGATTGCTCCAGCGGATGGTCCCACAGACATACAGGTAGCTTTAAAGCAAAAGTTTATTATTATCTTTTAATGTAAAGTGTAATGTTGTTCCTGATGCTTGTAATATGGGCTGTCTATATGGTATATTTGAAAGTATTGTACTTAACCGTATTATTTTCTGTTTGTAGACTACATCTGTGCGACATTTTAAGAAAGCAGCTAGGCGTGTCCAGCAGGAGGTTGATTCATTAAATTATCTGGCATACAAATACATTGTGTTGTTATTTTTCTTCACCGTTGTTGTTCTTGAATTATAGGTTGCATCCACACCTTGCATAAATCCTCTTGCAGACGTGGAGTCTGTTCGGTCTAGGAAGGAGGTAAGAAGCGTGTGTTTCAAATATAAAAACTAAACTAATCTTTATTGACGATGTATTGACCTTTAATTTCTTCTGTATAGGTGTTGGACTGTGACCAGCTGCCTTCACCCCACCACCAGGAGGCATCTGGTTGTCCTGGGTCTGTCTCTGGGTCTGGTGCTGCCCATGCTGTGATGCTTCCTTCTGGCCATCACGCGCATGCATCACCCAGAGGTCAGTCTGCTAACACCCCTTCTTGCGTGCGTTCACAGGTTTTGCTGTCGTCTCTAGTTCCAGAGACAACTGTTCAAAATCCTGTTGTAAATAATTTTGATAAAGATAAAACAATTTTACACAACAATGATACAATTTTAGACTCTGTCCTAGGATCATTTCATCAGGGCGATGGGCGTTTTAAATATGGGGGAGTTCAGTGTGCAGCTATTACTGTTGTTGCTTTAACAAAGCACAAACAGAAGAGTGTTTTCTCTTGGGATTTTGCCGTGTTGGATAACGTTGTTGAGTTAGGAGATGAGCTGTACACAGATTTGCGCGACAACAAGAAGATTAGAGGTGGACATGAGTTTCTCTCTGTTCCAGACTTGCCAAAGGAAATTGACATGGAAGAACAGAGTTTTAAGCTTGTTTACGGGGATTTCGTTTTAGGAGATGTAGATGTAGCTGAAGGCGAGTTAATAGATGCTGGTGTGTACACTCCTCTCCTGGATGGATTGAAGAAGATGTGCACACAGCATGAAACTTGCATTATGACATTAAGTGGCAATACTTGTGCTATCATTTGTGATAATGGACGTTATGCTGTAGTAGATTCCCATGCACGCTCCGCAGACGGCATGGTAGACCCGACAGGACAGAGTGTAGTTCTGTACTTTGCGAACCTTGATAATGTTTTTCAACATTTTCAGAGGTTTGCTAGTGAACTGGTGGGATCTCAGAGGTTATTTGAGATCACTGGAGTGGATATTGTTCAGATGGACACATTTAAAAATGTATCTGAACAAACAGATGACATTGACATAAACCCTGTTATTTTTGTTAGTGATGCTAGTACTAAAGATTTTCATTTCAGTCCCGTTTCTACAGACGTGTCACAGGCGTTGAGTAAATGTCTGAATGTGAAGTCTGCGATGGTTGAATCATCTCCTGTTCCTTCATGTAGCACAAGTGTGGTTAACGTTGATGATGACAACAGTATTGTAAACAATGATACAATTTTAAGCTCACTTACAGGATCATTTAATCAGAGCGATGGGCGTTTTAAATATGGCGGCGTTCAGTGTGCAGCAATAAGTCTTGTTGCTTTAACTAAGCACAACATACAAAGTGTTTTTTCATGGGATTTTGCCATGTTAGACAATGTTGTTGTTTTGGGCGATGAGCTGTACACATATTTACGCGACAGTGATCTAATAAGTGCTGGGAATGTGTTTCTTTCTGTCCCAGAATTGCCAAAGGAAATCGTTATGGGCAAACAGACTTTTAAGTTGAATTATGGGGATTTTGTTTGTGGAAATGTAGATATCGTTGAAGGTGAACTTATAAATGCTGGAGTGTACACTAGTCTTTGGGATGGTTTGAATAAGATGTGTACACAATATGAAACATGTTTTTTTACACTTGGAGACAATACTTGCGCTTTACTTAGTGAAGATGGACATTATGCTATTGTTGATTCACATGCTCGTTCTGCAGATGGAATGGTTGACCCAAACGGTAAAAGTGTAATTCTATACTTTAGTAGTCTTGACAATGTTTTTAGATATATTCAGAGGTTTGCCAGTAAATTAAATGGAACTCAGAAGTTGTTTGAGATCAGTGGAGTTAACATTGTTCAGATGGACACATTGAAAAATGTTTCTGAACAAACAAGGTTGCCTCCAACAACAGGAAAGGAGGTTAGACGTGAAGAGTCATTTCCACTCTCGGAACCAAAAAAGTTACAGACAGATGACACCGACATAAACCCTGTTGTTTTTGTTAGTGATGTTAGCACTAAAGATTTTCATTTCAATCCCATTTCTAGGGACGTGTCTCAGGTGTTGAGTAAACGTCTGAATGTGAAGTCGGCAATGGTTGATGAATCATCTCGTGTGATTGGTGAATTGGGTGTACCATGCATGAATAAATCAATAGTGGCAGATGGAAACTGTTTTTTTAGAGCACTTGGTCAAGCTGTTTCTAGCACCCAGGAATATCATAGAAAAATCCGTCTTGCTTTGGTCAATCAGTTAAAAAAGAATCCTCAAATGTATCAAACCATTTTAAGAAGTGAGTATTCCTCGGTTTCGCAGTACCTCACCTCATCCAGGATGCAGTACGTTGGCAGTTGGGCAACTGAAGTGGAAATTCAAGCTGCTGCTGATTATTTTGGCATTAACATATTTACTTACTGTAATGATAAATGGCTTAAATATACATCCAACAGCATCTTTTCACAGCAGGCTGTTTATTTGGAGAATAGTAATGGTAACCATTATGAGACAGTGGTTTGTGTAAAACAACCTAACACAGGAACTTGTTATGGTTATTGTGGCCCTGTAAATAGTATTTCTGGTAGATACAATACTCGACATGCCCCTACAGAACATTTAAAATGTTCAGTAGAAACTGTCACACTTGAGCCGAGTTCCATAGATACAGATGGTGTTAGTGTTGTTCATTCAAATACTTTATTTACTCCTCTGTCTGCAGATTTTTGTAAAACTCTGTGTAATCGGTTGAAAATAGATTTTGAGAAACACAATTCTCAAGAATCCACATCAGGTGGGCCTTTAGGAAATGTGTGTAAGACAGAACATATTATTGAAGATGGTAACAGCTTTTTTAGAGCTGTAGCTCATGTAATTAGTGGGTCACAGAAGGGCCATCGTAAGATCAGACTCGCTGTTGTTTCTTATATGTCCAAAAATGCTGAAGAGTGTGAGAAGTTTCTGGGAAAAGAACATGCTTCTGTGTCAGAATACATAAAAAAGTCACAGATGAATTATGTCGGTCACTGTGCTACAGAAGTAGAATTTAGAACTACAGCCAGTGTTTTAGGATTACCCATATTTATCAACAATGGCACAGAGTGGGTCAAATATAGTTCTCAAACTGGTAATTTTGTCACTGAGGGACTATATTTGTCAAACTGTAATAATCATTTTGAGCCCGTTCTTTGCATAAGACTGGGTAATAAAGAAACATGTTTTGGGTTTTGTAAAGTTGATTCTTTGTCAGACAACGTAAACAAATGCAGAAGGTCAACTATGATGCAGTTAAATGCTGACCCAAACATGGAAAAGATGAAAACGAGGAAGAGTTTTTCCAGATATTTAAAGCAAAATAAGGCTTATGCAGAAGCCTCTAATTATAAAATGGTAAGTGCAGTTAAAGACAAAATAAAAAGTCAGAAGAAAAATGCATACAAGCAAAATGTTGCTTACAGAATGAAAAAGATCAGCACAACCAAATTTAAATACAAATTTCTTCTTGCACATAAAGAGAAAGTTAAACATAAGGCCAAACATAGGTCCATTTTCAACTATCATCATAACTTGGCTCATCGAGAAAAGCTTAAACAGATGAGTGTGTATAAGTACCATCAGAATTTGGCTCATCGAGAGAAGCTTAAACAGATGAGTGTGTATAAGTACCATCAGAATTTGGCTCATCGAGAGAAGCTTAAACAGATGAGTGTGTATAAGTACCATCAGAATTTGGCTCATCGAGAGAAGCTTAAACAGATGAGTGTGTATAAGTACCATCAGAATTTGGCTCATCGTGACAAAAAGAAAAAAATAAGTAAAAAGAAATACCTTAATATTGAGCATAAAACATGTTTAATAGAAAGTATCCAGCATAAAAGAAAGCTGATTAAAGTAAATTCACAAAACTTTAATTTTGTTGTAGATCAATTTTTAGAGAAGGTGAAAGATGGACCTGATTTTGTGTGTTGTGTCTGCTCACGGTTGTTGTTTAGACATCAGGTCTTAAATTGTAATCAAGAATACTATAGAAAAACCAAAGAAATGTCACTTATAGCAGATAAATGTATAAGTGACAATCATCTACACAAATGCAATGATGCCTGTAGATTACCTTGCAAATTGAATGTATGTAGAAATAAATTGTACATCTGTTACACGTGTCATTATAAAATTAGTAAATGTCAGATACCCCCAGAAAGTTCAATCAACAAGCTGACTGTTGATCCCATCCCACCTCAACTGGCATGTTTAAATACATTAGAGCAACATTTAATAGCGATGAATATACCCTTTATGAAAATGTTGGCTCTGCCCAAAGGTGGTCAGAATGGGATTCATGGTCCTGTCACTTGTGTACCTGCAAATATAGTGGAAACGTGCAGTTTGTTACCACGTACCAACATGGAGGGGTCTTTATTACCTGTAAAGTTAAAACGTAAATTGACATATAAAGGACACTATGATTATCAGTATGTTGACACACAGCATGTTCAGGAAGCTCTTCAGTATTTAAAACGTCATAATTTGCATTATAAAGATGTAGAGTTCAATGAGTCTTGGATTAACACATTTACTCAGGAAGATGAGTCGTCTGTCCTGCAAGAAGATAGTGGTTCTGGTAAAGATGAAGATACTTGCATAGATGGAGAAGATGAGTTATTGCATGACAGACAACAGCACTGTATGTTTCAGGACACCTGTCTCATGCCAGTAGATATAGGACAAGAAGCATTGGATCAGTATGTGGATAACATATTAAATGTAGCTCCAGGTGAAGGTAACAATCCAGTGAAATTGCTTTCAGATTTTACAAATGAAGCAAAAAGTTTTCCCGTCTTGTTTCCTTCAGGATCGAATACTTACTATGAAAGCAGACAATTTCGTTTGACTCTGAATCGGTATTTCAACAACAGGCTTCTTCATGTCGATGGTCGATTTGCTAACAATGTAGAATATATATTTTTTGCACAGTACATGTCTGAACTAGAGCAAGTTGTGTCCAAAGTTTCTATAGCTTTGCGTAAAGGTAAAAGCGGTGAATCTCAGAAGTTGGGTAATTTGATACAGGATCAGGATTCTTTAAATAAGCTGTTAGAGTTTGATGATGGCTACCGGTTTCTTAAACCAATTCGCGGCACACCTGCTTTTTGGCAATCTGCTCAGCGAGACCTCCTGGCTTGTGTAAAAATGTTGGGCAAACCTACTTGGTTCGCATCATTTTCGTCGGCAGATTTGAGGTGGACTAACCTTCTTTATAGTATTTTGAAACAGGAAGGCAGAACAGAGACAGTGGAACAGCTGGAGTGGGCTGATAAATGTGACCTCCTACGTAGGAATCCAGTAACTGCTGCCCGAATGTTTGATTTTAGATGGCATGTCTTCTTAAGGGAAGTGCTAATGTCTCCTGCCAATCCCATTGGTAAAATAGAAGATTATTATTATCGTGTTGAGTTCCAGCAGCGTGGTTCTCCTCACTGTCATTGCCTTTTCTGGGTTTCTGGTGCTCCCATTTTAGATAAGAACACAGATGAGGAGGTCATTGCATTTGTTGATGAATATGTCACATGTGAACTTCCTTCTGAAGACGATTCACTACATGAAGTCGTCTCATCTGTCCAGCAGCACTCCAAACGGCATTCAAAGACTTGTAGAAAGAAAAAAACTGTTTGTCGTTTTAATTTTCCACGGCCTGCATCTGTTAGAACTTTTATTAGTCGTGGTGAAAAGTATCAAGATGCAGTGAAGACTTGCAAGTGTGATAAAACAGATAGCACTGTACAGTGTGCCTGTGCGTCTCAAGATAAAGCTCGTAAACAAGAAATGGACAAAGAAGTAGCAAGTGCCATTTTAACTAAAGTAAAGACTGCTATTTCTAGTGAAGACTGTCCATATAACAGTGTAGAAGGTCTGTTTCAGGGCCTGGGTATCAGTCAGGAACTATTTGAGATGGCATATAAACGATTTTGTCGAAATACACATGTTGTTTTGAAAAGGGAAGTTAATGAAATCTGGATTAATCAGTATAGCAAGTTGCTGTTAAAAGCTTGGAATGCTAATCTTGATATCCAGTATTGCGTCGATGCTTATGCATGCTGTGTATACATAATATCTTACATGTCTAAAAGTGAACGGGAAATTGGCCTTCTGCTTGCTAATTCTCAAAGAGAAGCAGCCAAAGATGGTAATCTTAGTGCTAAAGAGGCCTTGAAGACTCTTGGTAATGTTTATCTTCATAATCGAGATGTTTGTGCGCAGGAAGCAGTCTACAGGCTAACTAACATGCATCTAAAGGAGTGTTCTAGGAAAGTTGTGTTTGTTCCCACTGGTGATAATATAGTGAAAATGAGTTTGCCTATTTCTGTTTTGAGGCAAAAAGCAGCATCACAGGATCTTACTTCAGATGACATGTGGATGACCGGATTAGTTGATCGTTATAAGAAGAGGCCAAATGATGATGTGTTCAATGATATGTGCCTGGCTACGTTTGCATCAGAATATCGTGTTTTGAGTAAAAACGAAAAATGTAGAAACCCTATAAAGTTAAGTAATGATTTAGGATTTGTTACAAAAAGAACTCGGACTAAACCAGCGGTTGTTCGTTACGCGCGTTTCTCTGAAACCAAAGACTCGGAGAAATTTTTTCAAAGCATGTTGCAGTTGTTTTTACCGTACCGCCATGATAGTCAACTTAAGCTTAACTGTGAAACTTTTGAGGAATTTTACAGAACTGGTTTAATTAGATTTTTTGATAGAACAAACCACTCGGTAAAGGCTGTTGTAGATTTAAATCGGAGTAAATTTGAGTTAGAATCTGATCATTTGGATGCTGTGAATAATATAGTCGGTGATGTAATGTTAGAAGATGCATGGTGTGAGTTGTGTCCGGCAGTTGAAATGGAACGTTTAGAGTGTGTTGAAATACTGAAAGAATCAGAACCGACAGTAAGTGACGAGGCAGAAGTAATCCCAGATTTGGCTCCATGTTCAAACCAAACTGCACATTTAGAGAAGAGAAACACGATGAGTAGAGGTGAAGGTCTGGCATTGATTAGGTCTTTAAATGAAAAACAGTTTTCTGTTTTTAATCAAATCAGGCAGTGGTGTGTAGATAAAGTTAATGGTAATAACCCTGAACCACTGCATGTTTTTGTTACAGGTGGGGCAGGCGTTGGGAAAAGTCATTTAATTCGAGCAATCGAGTATGAAACACAGAGATTACTGTCACCAAGCTGTAGACATCCTGATAATGCATGTGTAGTATTGACAGCTCCTACTGGGATTGCAGCATATAATTTAGGTGCAACAACAATCCACACTACACTGTCTATAGGAAAGGATGTGCGCTTACCGTACACTCCTCTGGGTGAAGAAAAACTAAATTCTTTACGTACAAAATATTGTGATTTGCAGCTTCTTCTTATTGATGAAATATCAATGGTCGATCATAACCTGTTGTCCTATGTTCATGGTAGATTACGTCAGATTAAACAAACGGGTGACTTTTCACCTTTTGGAAATGTCAGTGTAGTGGCTGTTGGAGATTTCTTCCAGCTACCTCCTGTTAAAGGGAAGCCACTCTATTCTGATGGTGTAGGTAGCAACTTATGGTCAAGCCTATTTAAAGTTGTACAGTTAACTGAAGTCGTTAGACAGAAAGATGCTGTGTTTTCTGGACTGCTAAATAGAATCAGAACTCATACAAAAGGTACACCATTGTTACCTGAGGATTTAAAGGTTTTAAAAACTTGTGAAACAGGTGAGGCAAGCTCAGCATTGCACATATTTGCAACAAATAATCAAGTAAATAATCACAACATCCATCAGTTATGTCACGTTTGTCCTGATTACATATCAATTACAGCCAAAGATTATGTTAATGATAAAAGAACAGGCAAACTGAAGTTGTTGGAAGGGAATCATGCCAGAGCTTCTAATACTAACTTGTCAGAAGTGTTACAGTTGGGTAAGGGTGCGCGTGTAATGTTGTGTAAAAATGTGGATGTCATTGACGGTTTAGTAAACGGAATTTGTGGTACGTTGACGGAAATTGTAATTTTAGAAAATGACACCTTTCCTAAGAAAGTTTATGTTCAGTTTGATGACCATCGTGTCGGCTTGCAGAGGAGGAAAACCTCCCAGTCTCTGTCAGCAAATTTAGCTGGATCTACACCTATTGAACCCGAGGAGGAAAGAGCCACTGTTAAAGGTGGATTACGTCGACAATTTCCTCTTAAATTAGCTTGGGCGGTTACGGTTCATAAAGTTCAGGGACTCACTCTTGAAAACGCCGTTGTTAGTTTTAGGAAAATATTTGCACCAGGTCAAGCATATGTAGCACTTAGCCGTGTAACAAGTCTTTCAGGACTCACAATTCAGGACTTTGATGAAAAACGAATCTATTGTAAAGATGACATTACAGTTGCAGTTAGTAAAATGACCCCTTTTTTGACTCCAAACTCACAGTTCGACAGATTTAACTCTTCTGCATTCACTGTGTTTTTAATGAATGTCCAAAGTCTGAATCGACACGTTAAAGACTTAGCTTTCTGCACACAGCATTTGCAACCTAATTGCATTGCTGTCACAGAAACATGGGTATCTACAGACAGATCAGATGCAGTAAAGATTGATGGCTATAGTTTTTACAACTGCCCACGAGGTTTAGCTTATTCTAGTACTCATGAGTCTTTGATTGCTTTTCAAGAACAACAACATGGTGGTGTTGGCTTTTATACTGCAGATGGTGTGGCATTTAAAATGTTGCAGGCTCCAGACGTCAACTTGGAGAGTTTAGTGTATAGCTTTGTTAACTTACACATAGTACTTGGACTCATTTATCGACCTCCTCTTTATCCCCTTTCTTTGCTTAAAGTAAATTTAACAAAGTTGCTTGATTGGCTGGAGGTACAAAGTGAGACATTAGTACTAATGGGAGATTTTAATGATGACATTTTAAAATCATCAACAATATTAAAACTTTTGACTGACAGAGGCTATGCCCAAATAGTCAAACAGCCAACAACCGAGAAAGGCACTTTAATAGATCATGTCTATGTAAAATCCAACAAGTATATAACAGAAGCATCTGTTATTCCAACATATTTTAGTGATCATCAGGGCATCATGTGTGCTTTGACACGGCTTTAGTTTACCTCAAAAACAGCTTTGATTTGATCAACACCTAACTGCAGAATTTGTAATGTAAAGAGGTGTGTGTGTGTGTGTGTGTGTGTGTGTGTGTGTGTGTGTGTGTGTGTGTGTGTGTGTGTGTGTGTGTGTGTGTGTGTGTGTGTGTGTGTGTGATCAATTTTAGCTTTAACATTTACTAATATTTTACCTTTCCTTACATGAGCTATCTCTACTGAGAGCAAAATCAATTTCGTTGTACACCTATGCAATGACAATAGAACTTGTATATATATATCATACATATAGTCTGTCAGAACTTTTCTATATGAAATATATTGGATGTATTGTTTTTAAGCAGTGTACATGTTTCGATGCCGTTGAGAGGTTGTGCACACTCAGGACAACTTCGCTGCCGCGTTCCATGTGTGAGAGCAGGGGTTGCAGGACAATGTGCGCACAGGAGTGTAGCAAGATTTTTAAACTGTGGGTGCTGAAATTTCTCTGATGCATATAGGTGAGAAGTGTTACATTCGCAAACTATTTAGCTGTCATGAGAGCAACAAAGGGGGTAATAACGCGCGGAACGTTTTGGTGTCGTGCATTTGTCATGGCACTAGAATTTCGGGAGTGGTGCAGCACCACGCCTATGTAGGAAAAACCACTAACTGCTGCTGTATGCTTCACCATTTCTGTGATTTCAATTTTCATGTCCCCTACTGACCTAGTCAAAATAACATTGAGCCATTTCCCACCTTCTCTCAGCTCTAGAATGCTCTTTCCCCTTGTCCTCTGCATTAATCTCTCACCCACTTTTTAATCAAAACTAAAAACATATCTGTCCAGATCAGCAATTAATACACTAATTTTATTGTTGTAATGTGTGTGAGTGTGTGTGTGTGTGTGTGTGTGTGTATTTCATCTTCTTTGTTGCAAAATGTGTAGGATGTATTGGAAAGCTTTTAAACGTCTTTTTTAACATCAAAATTAAATGTGTTTAAAAGCTTTCTAAAGGTTTCGTTTCCTGCATTAAGATGGTATTTATTGAAATTAAACTGAAAACCTTTAGTACAATTGGCCTCTCATTCATCACTACTGAACGATGTAACAATTCAACACCAAATTATGCATAATGTTAAAAATTAAACTGGTGAATTTCATGCTGTTTTAATGCAGGGTTTGCTTTACCTGGTAAAATGCACAAAAAAGCAAAGGCAATGGTCTGGTCTCCCAATTGTGGGACAGGGTTCAAATCCCTGTGTTGCCCTGCTAATTGTGTTGATCACTGGAAAAAACTATTATTAAAAAAGGCAAAAAACAATAAACTTTAAGTTTAAAATCTTACTTGCTGCAATTCACCCTAGAACTAAACACATTTTGATTTCAAGGACAACTGATAAGATCACACCCATGGGCATTTCTAGCGTGCTTTTGTGAGTACTGAAGCACCCCTAAATTCATCTCTAGCACCCCTAAAGTTTAACATTTATTTATTTATTTTTACAATTTATGGTGATTTTTAAACACATATCTAAAACAATTGGACAAAACATTGTTTTACAAACAATAATATAGCAAATCTCCCCTGTCTCAAAAATGGTTTGATCGTGCTCACCTTTCCAGCCTCTACTCTGAGCCTTCCTGATAGGGCTGCAACAACGAATCGATAAATTCGATGAAAATCGATTACTAAAAGCGTTGGCAACGAATTGCGTCATCGATTCGTTGTGTCGCACAACTTTTCCAAAAGCGCCCCCCCCCCCCCCCCCCCCCCCTTCCCGCCCGCCGTTGCGCGCAGACCAGAGCAAGTCAGATCAGCGCGAGGGAGAGCCGGCAGATCAGCGCGAGGGAGAGCCACAGATCAGCGCGAGGGGAGCCGGCAGATCAGCGCGAGGGAGAGCCGCAGATCAGCGTGAGGGAGAGCCGGTACCGGCAGATCAGCGCGAGGGAGAGCCGGCAGACTTGCGCTGCTGCGAACCGGTTCCGCATTGTCGCGCAGCGATCCAGGCAGCTTCTTCCAGCGCATGGTCCATTCTCAAAGTGGCGCAACCAAAAAACTATAATTAGCACACGATCGTTCATGTCCGCACATGTTCTCTATTTTCTGTCTTATTTGTGCCTGAAGCTTGCTACTGCGGAGCTCATCACCTGTGCTGTGGTGATGTCACCTCACGCAGCATCGAAAACGCGCTCTGCGCTTTTCGGTCAGGAGATCCCTTTCATCTGCTCAAAAGTAACTGATGAGGTGAAAAGGTAAGAATCCAGGCAACAGATTTTCTGGAGAATTAAGAGGAGATGCAGGAAGATGAGAGACAGACAGGACAGGAAAATAGTTAAATAAAAACATAACAAAGTGTTGAAAAGTCAAATGTAGGTAGATTTATCTCCACTACAAGTTTTTACCAGTAAAAAACAATAAGTTATACACATGTCATATTTATACATCTGATACAATTCAGATCACCTTCAAAACTCAGTCACACACCCAGGGCCGTTTCAAGACATTTTGGGGGCCAAGGCAAAATGCCCCCCCCCCCCCCCCCCCAAATAACTGGGCTCCCCAGAAGCCTCTGTGTAATTCATGCCCTCTCCAGGAGTATTAGTTATACAGTGTTTGTAAAAGCCCCTCAGACATTACTGACATGTTCTAATATTATCAGATGAAAAACTAAATTATCAGACATGCCGTCTCATCTGCTTCTTTTATAAACTTGCAAAAAGTAACAAAACCATTTGAAAGCCACTATTTGTGGATTCTCTGAAAGTTTCCATGGAGTGTGTGACAACTTATTTTTTCATTGATCCTATCGTCTAATCTCACAGCTGAAACAAGCATCCTTAATAATCTGTGCACAGGAAGCTTACCGATGCTGTAGTAAAACAAAAGGTATAATAATTTATTATTAATAAAACCTTGTTGCAGCACTAAAGCAGAAAAATTAGATTTTGCATTAAATATGCAAAATATTTACATATGAATTGTTTTAGAGCCCTTTAATTGGCAGAATCTGATATTAATTTAGTTCTTACAAAAAATGGGTCCCAACATGGTTTGTGTGGCGTTGCCATAGTGTGACGTCATAGGCATAGATCCCCTGTCCTCTTGTTTGGAAATGGAAATATGATCACCCTACATTAAACAAACTGTCCACCCGTGCTTTTGCACTGCACAGAGACGCTTCGCTGCCTACGACTGAACGTCAGTTGAGAGTCAGTCTCATGCAGACTGACCAATGAAGAGAAGGCCTCAAGTTAAGACCCTCTCCTCATTGGTCAGTCCACACGAGGTGGGTCAAAGGTTACTCTGGGCGGGTTACGTGTCGTCAGGCATTCAAGTATTGAGTATATTTACTGCATATTACAGTAAAATATTCTGTATGTGACCACATTATGGTGATCCTTGGGTCGTGATGATGGAGCCCTTGAATATTGTTGCCCAGGGTACAACAAAGTGTTAATCTGGCCCTGGTTCTGCCGTCACATTCCCGCAGAAACTGGTTGATCACACCGGGGCCAGACTACTAGCATGTGGTTTTACGACCACAATGTCCTCAGAAGCAAAAACGCTTTTAAAAGGGAGGGAGGAGTCCTAACTGTTGCTGCAGGCGTGTTGTGTGAGAGTGCAGTTATATACTGGTTAATATATTTTTGGGTTCAGTTGCTTTCATGTGGCCTAATGTGAGTCTATTTGGGATCATTGGAATGATCAGCAGCATTTCTTGATGTGACTTTATGGCAGTTGCCCAGGGCATCATCGCAAGGAGGATGGCATTCATTTACTTTTGTTTTATTTGGTATTTTTTCAGTCATTTTTGGAAATAGTGATCAATTTTGATTAATTCACAGCCTATGTTTAATTACATTTAAAATAAATGTCAACAGATGAGATCAAACAAAACAGATGAGAATTGCCCTTAAGCTGTTTAACTTGGACCAAGCATTTTAGGTCACAGATAGATGTAGCTTAGGGTCTCTGTCTATACACCTTATAAGACAATTTAGGTGATGGCATGTTATTTTTCTGCTATTGAACTGTTTTCTAATAATGTTGTGTTAAATAAAGTGAAGGAAGGAGAGAAATAACGTTTCCCAAGCAGTTTTTAAAAATTTCCCCATGTAATCCGATTAATCGATTAATCGTGTCGAGACCCCATCCGATTAATCGATTATCCAAATAATCGTTTGTTGCAGCCCTACTTCCTGAGTGGCTGACATGCCATTAGGAACCACGTTTTTTTCTGTGGGACAGTCCTGAATTTACATTATTTTTCACAGGTCTTTGAATCTTGCATAAACTGATTGTGAGGCGAAAACCGCAGCTGTCAATCAAACTAGAAGGTGGGACTTTGACGCAGGTCTGGCCACTCACGAACCTCCATACCAAATGGTAACGTCAGAGTGATCCAGGACTCATGGGAGATGAGCGCAGTGGAGAAATGCTGTTACAATAAAGGCTGAAGGGTTAAACTTGCTCAGGTTCTTCAGTAATCACACAGGCTGGTGCTGAAGAAGCCCAATAATAAGCTAACACAGACAAGGTACTTGTGTTCTTTCATAGCCAAACCCTTTTGAATAGCATTTAACAGTTGAAAAATCTAATTAAATCCTTGATTATTTCTTCAGACATGTCTGAGGGAAAAAAATCAGAACATTAAATTTAAATCTTAACTTATGTCAGAGATCAAAGTCACTAATTGTTGTTTTCTCTCCTCTAAATTTCTACTGTAAGAGACTATTTGTCATTTTTGCTAAGCTACCATTCTGTTTTAGTTGTTTAAATTCTGGGGAAAAAAGACAATTTATCAAAAAAGTTTGGATTTATTTCAATGGGATGTTGATATTAGTGGAAAATTGTGAAACAATCAAATCATGCATATGTCATAAAAAGCAAACAATGTTTAAGGAAATGGTGCCATAGTGATTTAACTTGCTGAGCTAGTAAAAACATTTCCAGTGTTGTGTAATAAAATACAACAAGTTTGGCATGTTTGTGACTTTATTTGTTGATGTTGTTCAAGTTTTAATTCATCTAGATGTTGCTGTCTTTAATTCACGTAAAATCTCTTTGAGCTGTTATTGAGCGAATCAAAATCAATGTGGTGTAAATTGGTGTGAATCACACTGTATTATTTATCTAAAGCCAATTGTCTGTACAAATTATTACACTTTTAAAAGTTTGTAGGTAGCACTCTAGAGAAAATGGATCACATGCTTTAACAATTTTCACATAGTTCAGTTAGAGGCTGCATTTATAGGCGCTTACCAACTGCATAAGTTCCTAGAACCATCCCTCCAGTAAGAACATTTTCACATTGCATTCGCACAGCACTCAGAAACGTCTCACTACTAGGGCATACTCTATCTTTACCACACTGGTGATGTGATGTTCAGTCTCGGGCAAGTCGGAGGCTGTTTGTGGAAGTTACAGTCAAACGTAAGGTCACAGCGTCATGCCAGAAATCGCCATGCCCCTGCCTTTCTGAAAAGCTATCAGATCTGAATGGTCATTACAACATCAGGAAGACAGTGCATGACCTTAGTGTCATCTTGACTAAATTAGAGGGAACAAATATGGGCATTTCACCATAAAACAGTTGACTTCCTGTAGTCAGGGGGCGGGGCTTAGGTGATGTCAGCTGTCCACATTGTCACTGTCTTCAGATGTGGTCAGTGATCACACAGACAAAGTATGAAATTGATCTGATCATGCACATGGGAGTTAAGTCAAATAAGGTAATGGCGACTGGTCAAAGTTTGAGGCTTAGCCACGCCCACACCTTTATACTTATTTAAAATCCGACGGTTGAATTTTTTCCTCTATGTCTTAAGAGTATATAGCAGAGGTTTGAAGGTGATCGGTGGAAAGGGCGAGGAGATATCATTCTCCTAATAACGTGTGCGAAAACCACTAAATTGAGTACTTGGACCAAAATGGCCGACCTCCTGTGCGACATTGTGCTTGGCTCCAAGAGACTTTTTTGTAGGTCCTGGTACACTACATTAGTGTGCCAAATTTTGTGATCCTCAGTCAAAGCATGGCTTGGGGCTGACTGTTTTAATGGTCCTAGGGGGCGCTGTTTCAGAAAATAGGCCACGCCCACAAACTTCAGCTGTCCAATTCTATTAGGGGTCAGAGTAGGATCACTCATCAGAACTTGTATGGCGATGTCACAATGACTGAAGAAATGAGAGACAAACGTATTTCCATGTCGTGATGGCGAATTTCGCCATTCTCCCAAAGCCCCGCCTTTATTCGAAACCTGCCAGTACTATAGACCAAGTGACCTCAACTTGTCTGCTGCTATTCGCCACTGTTTGGTGGTGATTGGTTAAAAGGAGTCCAATAGGGAGCTGTGAAAAAAAGAGTGGCGTGGCGACAGGTCAAAGTTTGAGGCTTAGCCACGCCCACACCTTTATACTTATTTAAAATCCGACGGTTGAATTTTTTCATCTATGTCTTAAGAGTATGTAGCCGAAGTGTGAAGGCAATTGGTGAAAAGGGCGACGG